CCAACTTATACATTGTTAATAACATAATTTTATATACGTGCCTATCTTGCCCCATTACTGTTGCCCCTATACCAGGGGCAACTTTAATAAAAATAATTAAAATAATTACAACTTTACAAAAAGAGAGAAGTTGCCGATCTTGCCCCTATACCCGGGGCAACTTCGTCAATTTCTCTCTTCTTGTAAAGTTGTAATTATTTTAATTATTTTTATGTCCAAACTGATTTTAACCAGATGTATAGTAAGGTAACATTCCAATAGACAATATGCAAAAGGTTTTTTTCAGTTTACAGCAGTATTTATTACACAAAATTTAAGTAAAGCTTAACATGCCGATCTTGCCCCGATCTCCCCTAACGCATGCTTGACAGGAGGATTTGCTGGCCGTTTAATAAGAAAAATAATATTTATTCGTTTATTGAAAGTAAAATTACAAAAGGAGAGAGTTTAGCAAGGTTAAAATTTCTAAAGAGAAATAATTATTTAATTCTGGCGAGTTATGAAAATCAGCGGCATAATTATATTTTTTCATAGAAGCAAATAATATTTACCAATAAATTCGTTAAGATGATTACATAAAAATTATATAAATGCATTAGAATACTTTATAATGTTTTGTCAAAACAGAAAACAACAATGCACTAAAAAAAGAAATTTCTTGATTGGTACGTTCTGGTAATATTGAGCATGCTTAGTTTCGCGTTTCTCTGATCCAGGAATAATTGAAAAAACAGAACGATACAATAGGTTCTGTATTGGAGAAACCAATCGGAAGTAACTATTTGACTTACGCTGTGACTTATGTTTCTTTTTAAAGTCATTTTTGAGTAAATATTATGTTACAGTTGTGTCACTTCTTACTGGCATTGCTGACAGATAGGTATGAATATAAACGAACGTAAACTAAATTAAGATAAGACAGTACCGAATGGGGTACAGCTTCAGACTTCGTATAGGACAGGCTTAAAACCGAACAGAACGCACTCCTCAGATCTTTATATAAACTTCCTGACAATTCTGTCGTCGCATTACACTTACAACCAGAATAACATCGACAAAAAAAGTGTATTAGGTAAAAAGCAATCGCTTCTAAATACTTTTAAATTAATTAAACTTGCAAGAGAAAACCATTTTTTACTGACCTGACACCCGGCGCTTGTTAGTACAGATTAGTTTGCGTGCAAAGTAATGTCCTGGAGAAGTTGATAACGGAGTGGTTCCCCACTGCCTTCTCTAAGTACGCGATGTTACTCGAAGGAAAAGTGCTTTCCAGAAGATCTGTTAAAGGTAACTGGCCCTTATTCAGACGTTACAGATTAGAAAATTCCCTGCTACTGCCAACATTCGAACATAATTTCGGTTGAACCACGTTGATTTACCAAATGGTTTACAATTGAAATTCACTACAATAAGCACGCGTGATTAAACTTACAAGCAATTTAAACAATTTAATAACACTGATTGTAGTATTTTTGAAACCGTGCTAATAATTTTTAGTAATTCGAACACAAATCATTTATTGTATTTATTCAGACACTTGGCAAATTTAATCATTAAATTTTATTCTGTTGATAAGTGTTCATCGTATTTGTACGCATTCCTTGCTTCTCTTCAGACAACTAAAATAAAAGTTCACAAATTACAACAGTGTTAACAAACATATATAGGTCATGATTTTTAAAACACCTTTTAGATTACAGATTACTGAAAGTTCAAAACATAAAATTCCTTTCCACATTTAACTTGTCATGCATTAAATTACAAATGTTTGTAAGGTTTGAACCTTCAAAACTGTTTTACACATTCGATTGCTTATTATCTAAAAAAATTTTATATTTAACTTCAGCTTATCTAAAAATTTTACATTAATTATCTTCTATACGTCTATTTTCATAGCAATACTACAAATTACATATTTAGTTATTCATTTTGAATTGCTATGAATTTTAAACAATTTTAAAATATCTCCCATACATTTACTCTCACGTTTAAATCGATTTTACAACAATACCAGAATTTACATACTCGTCTTACATCAAAATCGAAGAAGTCCTTCTATACAAACATATTTCGCTGACCTTTTCAATTTAACGACTCATGTCAGAAGCTTAAATGATGTTCGACTTTGTATGTTGATTGTATAATTTTTGTTTTATTGTCATTAATTTTTTGTATGTTTGTATAATGTATTTATATTCTGCTTAGATACTTGTAATACGCTTATGGCCGTAGTGTCATAAATAAATAATAATAATTTTAGAAAATAAAAGTAAAAATATAATTTTGAATACATTCTTTCTTTCGGGAGTGCAAATATAAAAAATTTGTATAGTTTTCCGTTCGTGTAGACTCGCACACTTCTACTGAGTATTATAAAACCGTGCTTTTACTCTTACTGCTTATTATGCAGATAGAGTAAAATAATTCAAAAATAAGTTAAACAAGAAACAGAAATAGCGTTAATCTATTTGATTATTCACATGCGTTTTTCCAATACAAACGATAAATGTATGGATTTGTGTCTTCAATTATTTTTACGTTCAAAAATATGCGCAATTAAACATGCTTAATATAATCAAAACATAACAATCGAGAAATTATATTATTTCGTTGCATTGTTGTTTTCTGTTTTATCAAAATTTCGACTTAAATTAAAATAATTTGATAATTAAATTAAAATATTAAAATCACAATGGTAAGTATAACCTTTCATTTAATCTGTATAATTTTGAATTTTTCAAACTGTTTTAAAATTAACAAAAATAACAAACTATCAATTTTAAACTTATATCGAAGATAGTGTAAATATTATAAACGTTTTAAACATATTTTTATAATATATAACAATAATTTATACTATTGTATATAATTTTAATTTAACTTTTTCACGAATTATTTACTGCTATTCAATGAATTATTTTCAAAGGAAAGAAAATATCGATGCACGACATGCGGCAAGGAATATCTTCGTAAATATAATTTGCAAATACACATGTGAATTCACACGGGTGAAAGGCCGTGTAAATGCAATTTGTGCGAGAAAAGCTTTTCGAATAAGAGCAATTTGATAGGGCATATGATTTTACATTCGGATAAAAAGCCGTTCAAGTGCAATTACAATGGCTGTAAAGATAGCTTTAAAAGGAAAGAAGATTTGAAACAACACATGTACGCACTCCTCCCTGATGAGATTTTATCTAACGTAAATATTTCCACAAGTTTGTATAATTTCAATTTTTTTTTGTTTTTAAATTATCAAAGCGATAAAAGTTATAAAATAAACAGACACAATATAATTCTAAAGGATAAAAATTCAATTAATATTCAATTAATATTTCATACAATATTCGATGCAACTGTGTTAATTTACACGAATTAAAATAATAATATTAATAAGAAACTGTAAATATCATTATTGTTCTTTTGCCGTTGGAAAATTTTCAATTCATTATGTTTCTTTATATTAACTATGTATTTAACCTTTGCCAATTAATCACTCATAAACATATATAAAGTGAGATAGACGTTATTCATAATAAATTCATCAGCGTATTTAATAACCTATGATAGATATGAATAATATAAAATTCTAATTACAATAATGTTGTATTATTAAGCGAATCATTCTTTACAATTATTTCTTTTATAATTGATATTCTTATTGATATAAGCATGATACATCTTCGTGTTGTTATTTTCTAATTTATTAATTGCATTTTATAAGTGAAAATCCCAGAAAAGCTTTATTTATTGTTCACCGTATTATTAAGTCAACGTTAAAATTATAAATTATGTTATAATCTTTTTAAGATTAGATTCAGATTACAGTCGAAAAGCCATCCAAAAACAGTTGTTCGGCTGTGCGTAATTGCTAGTGTCAATAATAAGATTTAAGAAAATTACTCTGCAGCACCTCGTTAGCTCTGTTTTCATAAAATACATTTTTATACATATATTATAATGAAACATGAACAAAATTTTTTACATTTAATCTCAACATCATCACAATGAAATATACGGTAGAAATCATTTCAAAACTTTCTCATATAAAATTGTCATGAACTTCTTTCGTTTAAAAAATTACGTTTTATGTTTTTTGAAATATTGTTAACAATTAACTAAAAATTTATTGAATAATTAGATTTCACCAAAAGATCCGAAGATAATAAGCCGTAAATGTCACATATGTACAAAAGTTTTTCTATCTCCCGCTGCTTTAAAGGCTCACATGAGAACTCATACTAAAGAGCGGCCATTTTCGTGTAATGTTTGTAACGGCACTTCTATTACCAAAAGTAATTTAAACAGACACATGAGAAAAATCCATTCGAAAAAGGAAACTCCATCTTGCTTCGAAGTAAGTGTGTAAATATGTTAATGACTAAAATTTTTTCAAATAATCGACTATTAAAGTGTAAACGTTATAATAATAACTTTATTTATTTAATGAGCACACATTGTCTCATTATTCATTCATCGCATATATTCTAAACACTTGCATTTCTTCCATTCGATTCTTCGAGAAAATAAGTTTCTTTTAATTAACAGGAAAATTCCTGTATTCAAAATATACAACGATTCTGAATTCTCTGTCTAATATCAGCTACTAATACGCGCAGACAGCATCTTTTGTATAAACTACGAGTCATTCGATAAGCAGCCGGTAAAGAAACGTTTCTGTCATTTTATGTATCCACTAGCTGTTACCCGCGACTTCGCCCGAGGAGGTTTTGCAAGTAAACCCCATTTATATTCAGTATTTCAACAACCATAGTAATTGTTATATAACACCTACCGCCGAGAATGATGAGAATTGCTGAGAATCAAACAAACTATTTTTAATTTGATCAATTTTCTAAAACGTTTACAATCGTTCTATAATCGAACCAATATGCAATAACAAATTCGAATTTAAAACGGTTCGAACATTTGGATGAAAAATCGAAATATATAAAAATACAGTAGAGCGTCGATTTTCCGAAAGTCAATCATCCGAAAGAATTCCAGTCGGCAAATTTAAATTTTCGCCAGTGCTGTGGCGCTTCAATCTTTGTCTATGTCTTGGGCTACTCAAATATTTTACGTTTTTGATACTAAATTAACATCTGAAGTATAATTTTTTATTGTTTTTATATTTTTCAATATATTT